CCTGCCATGGGCAGGGACACCCTCCACTGTTTTTCTTTCTGTGGTCTGCTTTTTACAAATACTGACCTGGAAAGTAAGAGCACACAGATGCTCTTGGGTTATAAAACAGCCCCCCAAAATCTGAAGAGAAGCTGTGGCTCAGTGTGACCTTGGTGGACGTTTTATCTTTTCCTCTCTCTGTATATGGTGTTGATCAAGTTTTAGTTCTATGAAGCTGGCAGCCGCCCAGTTTCTGAAAAGTCTCTTGTTCTTCCCTTTTGCAAGCTGCGATGAGTAACTTTGTTTGACTTGAGTGTCAAGCTTTGCATAAAAATCCAAGAGTAATGGAGTTAGCAAGCTGTTGCTTTTGGAAACGTGGCTTTTTTTTCAGGCCACCAGTTGTGGTGGATAGAGAACGCAGATGATACGGCAAGTTTTTGCTGGGTAGGTGCCAATTCTGGCATTTAAACCGATACTTGTGTGTCTGTTCTTTGCAGTCGATACTGAAGAAGACTGTGACAGTGACAGAAACTCCTTCAGCAGTTTTCCATTATAGTGCTGCACAAGATTCGTGTAATAGCAAACATATTGATGCCATCGTCGAAGCAGCAAAGAAAGACCTTTCAACCTTGATGAAACTTGATGTAAGTTACTGCAGGAAAAAAATGGCTTTGTTTTTGCTTTTCATCTCATTCTGCCAGGCACTAAAGCGTAAATTGTCTCCCTAGTGCACCGCAGACTAGCTCAATGTTTTATTTCAATCCTTCAGACTAGAGAATAAATCTGAATTATTCTGCCGTTTGAAAAGACCATACTGAAAGGCACTGCGCGGATCTGTTCTCACTGTGTACGGATTTATCCCTTTGAGAAGGAAACGGGCAGTTTCTGCTGCCTTCTAAGTTTGTGCTCTCACAGACTGTGAAGGAGTTCTCTAAAGACGTTCAGGTGACGGCTGAATCTCCCAATCCTGTTGGCGTAGCATCCGAGTGCCTTGTTGGATTTTTGGAGTTGAATCTCCGGGTTTGGCCATCGGCTGTGAGCGCGTTCCACAGCTGACTGTGCCGTGCCCAATCCAAGTTAAATGCCTGGTGCCCTCGCAGTGAGAGCTCTCCCCAGGCGACACTTGCTAGAGCTTAAAAGATTTTCCTTTTGGATTTGAACATTCTCTGCTCATTTCCAAATAATTCCCCTTGCCACTTCAACATCTTGGTCGTGATCCTCTGGCTGTCAGTAGTGCGGCTGGAGATACACGTTCCACCAAGGGGTGCGGTACTGTCTGTTAGCCTGCAGGAGACTTGACTTTCTTGTTAATTTTCCCTTTTTCAGGCGTTTGTCCTCATGAAAGGCTACAGACAATTTTAGAAGAAATTCTTGTTACAGGTGGAGTAAAGCGGGACTAGGTGCTTTCACCTGTTCTGCTCAGCCTTCTGTTCTCATAGGACTGGCCTCAGACTCCGCTTGTGGCAAAGTTTGGCCCCCATATCCAACTGGTGTCTTCCTTTCCAGTCCTACTAGATCACGAGTGAAAATGTCAAGATGACTGAAGCTACTGATTACAGCACTTGTTCTTTTTTTTTTTTTTTTTTTTCCCTTTGGAATCCCATTTCTCAGTTATTAACAAGCAAACAGATTAGGTTTGAAGTTAAATTGGAACAGCATTCTTAAAATGTAGCATCTGATAGTGTTTTTAATAGGAAGATCTAAATAATAATGAAATAAGGGAGGCTTTTCCAGTTTTGATATTATTGCAACTCGCATTTTCCCAAGCGAATAAGAGGTGATGGAATGTAGCCAAATGCTAGAAATCTCATTTAAAGGTCAGTGTTAACTTTTGCTGTCCTGCATGGAAAAAAATGGATTCTCCTAAAGGCAATGAAAGGAGAATCTTATTGTGTTTAAAATATGTGTTCAATACCACTTATATCAAGGGAGAAAATTAATTCTGTAAGCTCTTCTCTTAAAATATTAGCTTGGATCTTTTATTTCTTAACTGGCTGGAGGCATTTTAAAATGTCATTTTTCAGAGCAGCCAATCAATGTGAACCAAATCAAGATGTTTTCATGACAGATGGTGGTGTGTTGGGTTTTTTTGTTGTTTGGTTGGGTTTTTTTTTTTCATGACAGTGTAAGAGAGAGGAGAGGATCATTTACTCTAGGAGAGAGGCAGTATTTTTTCAAATGACCCTTAAGTATCTGGCTTCAGAATTAAGATTTCTTTTTTTTTCTTTTGTTTTAAATAGCTTGAATTCCTTGGGTCTCTCTCATACATGGTTTTCAATCTCATACAACTTTTACATGTTTTAAGCTTTGTCTGCGGTCACAGTATGAGAGTTAAAGGATGCTGCGGGGCATGTCTTCTGCGTGAGTTATAAGGGAACTGAGTCGCCTCCCTCAACAGAAAAATTATTTGTCTGTACCAGTCAATTACAGCTTTTGTTTATTGTTTATAAGTGGTTTGTGCTTTCATTTCTGCATCATAAACTTCTGCTAATTTATTATCTATTATCATAACAGAAAGAAACCTGCTGTGAAATGGATTTTGTTGTGCTAGCAGCTTCTGTTCCTAAAAGCTCGTGGCTGGAGGAGGCTGGAGGGGTCAGAGCAGTTACCTAGCTCCAACCCTGTGACTGCAGTGCTGAATTTGGGTTTGCTGGGCTTGCCCGTTCAAGAGAGAAGATACTGGACAGGATGGATTTGGCTGTGATCTTGTTTCTCAACTCCTTCGTTGCTTGATCAGGGTAGTAAGAGCAGGGAAAGGTGGGATTTCAAGGACTGCTTCGGGGTCATTCGGTCTCTTCGCGTGCCCAAGGCAGAATCAAATGTTGCTAAGTCATTTCTGGCAGGTTTTTGTGTAAGCTGTTGTTACAGATCTCCAATGATGGGGACTTCACAGCTTTGTGTGCAGTCTGTTCCAACACTTAAGCAGTCTTAAGCATGAAGAAAATCTTGGCAATAATTTTTGTTAGAGCTAACGCAGCCATAAAAAGCCGTTGATAAGTAGAGCTCGTTAGGGAGATTGTATTCCCTTACTATGGATGCTTTCATAGTTAGAACTTTATAGGTAATACTGTATTGCCATAAATGTATAAGTATAGAAAAAACCATCACAGAAATTAGTGAAGTTGATATTACTGAACTGAAATATTTTGACAGGTGCTCATCAGGTCCTTTGCATTGGATAACTTCCCTTGAAACAGACTGGTTTCAATTAAACTATTTTTGATGAAAATCTGTTCTTTTTATCAGCTGTAGGTGTAAAGAATAATTCTGATTATTTCACTTGCTCTATTTTTTCATCTGAAAATGAAAAGATAAAATCTGGGCATAATGATTACAATGGTAAAATGTTTACATCTCTGCTATGTTGTTTTTCTGCTGCAATAAGGTTAATGACTGTGGGCAGATTCTGCTGCGCTGCTGGTGCTGAATTGTATCTCACTGTGCAGGCAGCTCTGCTGCTCTTAGTGATTCTTCCTCTGCGGCGAAGTGCTGGACGCAGCAGGGTCTGGCTTTGCCTTGCACAGGTTCAGCTGCAGGATGCCAGGACTGTCACTCTTTAGCATAAAGCAAGAATCACGGAATTGAACCTATGCTTTTGCCCCTGCCCATTTGGATGATGATGATGATAAAATGTTGAGCTTTTGAAGATTTGCTGGTTCGGGTGAAAGTTTTTTGCTGAAGCAAAGGTGACCTGAAACAAGAGGGTGTGATACTGACTGTGGGACACCAAACTGCGTGGGCAGTTCTTTGAGAGGAAAGAAAATTCTCTCCATGGCTGTTAACTGTGGTCTGGGCTCAGGATTATGGTGGTGACCAGCTCTGGAACTGGGAAGGAATCTTCTGATGAGCTGGTGCACTTAACCACATCGTCTCCTTGCCAGTGCCAGGGTTTGGGGCTGACTCCAAACCCCGGCTTCTGGAGAGACCCTCCCTCCTGTCTGCTCTGCAGGCGGGAGGGAAATTTCCCCCTCTCCCGTGCAATCCATGTGTGCATGCAGACGAGCATTCATGGCTTTGGGGAAGCTTTCGGTGTCCAGCGTGTATGAAAATCTGCTGTATGCACAGCGGGGCTGAACTGCGTGCCCAGGGAAGGGCTGAGATAAAGCAAGTGTTAGATCACGTCCAGTTCCTCCCTGATGTAGATAGTCTCCTCCAGTTTTTCTTTCCTTTGAAAATAACTTCATTTTTCATGATTTTCATGCCAGCTGATATAGGTCTCTTTTTGTTATAGACCCTTAAAAGAGTCTGGGGGCAAAACTGACAAAAATAAAATCCTTAAGAATCTAAGTCTGATCAATTGAAACAAATTAAACTCTTCTTCTGGAAGAAATGTTTGTTGGGTAGAGAAATACAAAAATCATGCACCATTTTTTAAGGAGATTCAAGTACTTACCATCTCTAGTAATTATTATTCTTATTTGCTTTGTTTCGAATGCTTCCTCACATTCTTGGGTCTCTACTTGTGCACAGACGAGTAAATTGTACCCTCCATCCCTTGTTTCTCCAGGATCCTTCGTTGTTGAACGGCAAAGTGACGCTGCATCAGGTTACTGCTGGGACTGTGCTGTCGAGACAAGGAGATCAGGTGGGTGAGCATCATCCGAGAGCAGAGAGAGCTTAAGTCTGGCTCCCTCTTTGCCCCCCGCCATAGCTGTTTATACACACTGATGATAAATAAAAAATCCTCCCCTGACCCCTTCCAAACCCTTTCCTCTGGAGGTGGAACAGTCCCAGCTCCCAGCCTCGCCCTGCACACGGAGCAGCAGAGTGGGAGTCTGGCACCTGCCTGTTTTCAGCTCTTATGTACCTTCACGAGAAGGTCTGGAGTGTACACCTCCGTCCTTCCTGAGGCGGTCTGGAGGCCGGGCAGCCCTTTTTCATGCCGCGCTGGCTGCGGCTTTCAGTGATGGCACTCAGCTGCAGGAAAGCGTTCTCTCCACCCCCTCCCCTCCCCAGCAATAGAAACCCAGTGTTGTTTGTTTATAGCACAGTGTATTTAGGATATAATGAGATTAATTTATAATAATGTTGTATAAACAGACGAGCTAATGCAAAGCAGCTGAGGGGCAGCTCCGGTGACGGCGCTGCTGCATTCTGCTCTGCTGAACGGCCGCGTCCTCGTCGTGCTGCTGTGATTACCCCATTAGCTCCCTTTGCAATTCTGTTGTTATTGCTTCGGATCTTACAGATGCCGCCTTCATTTTTCATAACCGTTCAAAGAGAAACACATTTTTCAATATTGTGGCCGCTTAGTTTTAAATATTCATAACCTGCTTTTAATAATTCACTATTGTGTCTTATTTTATCACCTAATTGTTCCGAAACTATAGGGAGCTTTCTGGAAAACAGATCGGTCATGATAGTACTGTCACTGTGATAATTGCTTTTAAAACCTTTGGGGATTTTATTGAGCTCTTTTTCCATTTTCTCCAGGATGTTAATGTTTGCTTTGTGGTTTCGGGGATGCTTCATGTGTACCAACGGAAGATCGACTCGGAGGAGGACACCTGTCTGTTCATCACCCATCCCGGGGAGCTCGTGGGCCAGCTCGCTGTCCTGACGGGGGAACCCCTGATTTTCACCATCAAGGCCAATCGAGACTGCAGCTTCCTGTCCATTTCCAAGTCTCATTTCTATGAGTGAGTTCTGCCATGAAAATGTGTATATTGATTTTTTAAATTTTTTTTTTATGGCCCGTTTGAACAAATGGGAGTGGTGGATATCTGTGTGGCGTAGTACTGCTACAGTACATCCCATAGCAAACCAGAGAGCTTACGTGGGAGTTTTAAGCACCTAGATGAGTTCTTTCCCATCTATCAGCTGGCTTTATCTCCAGCAAGAGATAATGCAGGGATCATGCTAATACTGAACGGTGATATCTCCTTTGTTCCAGGTTTATAGAGCGCTAAGCCCAGTGGGGTGTGATTTGTGACCCAAGACTCATATACTACATAATCCAAATACGAAAGTCTGGCCAGAGCCTGTGCTTTGCTGGGTGAAGTGCTTGCCAGGCCCTTTCTCTTAGATTCGTTATCCCTTTGGCTGCAGAACCACCCCAGTTCTGTTTCCAAACACAGCCCAGGCTGTTGGGTGTGCTGCGGATGGTTGGTGTTGGTGTAACTGTCGGTTTTCAGTGCTCACTAATAGAGTAGGTCAGAGAAGAGTGTGATGGCTGTGCTTGGCCTTGTTGTCCAATATTCCCACAGCCCAGGCTGTTGGGTGTGCTGCGGATGGTTGGTGTTGGTGTAACTGTCGGTTTTCAGTGCTCACTAATAGAGTAGGTCAGAGAAGAGTGCCCCCGTGCAAGGCAGGTTCCCTTCTGGAGCTTGGAACGAGGACGTGACTTGTGACTTAATGCTTAAAGGGGGATGTAGGTATTTCTCAATTAAAAAACACACAGCCAAACCCGGTGTGATGGCTGTGCTTGGCCTTGTTGTTCAATATTCCTGATTAGTGCCCTTGATTCATTCCATGATCCTATTGTTAAGACTTACTATTAGTTCACAGACACAATCTGTGTCAAATACCTCTATTTCCTTTCCTAACCTCCTTTTTCAGCTTCTGTTTGAATCAATCCTGTGCTACGTGTGTGTGTTCTTGGGGCACTGTTGTGTGTTTCTGTGTACTTCTTACTTTCTAAATATTTCTAATTATTTGTATTCCTAATAGTCTACCACCAAATTTTTTTCTGTGGTGTTTGTTTTTTCACCTCAGCAAAAGGCTGTACCACTATAAAGCGAACACGCTGTTCTCAGCAGCGTGCTTGCCTCATTAGCTGTGTTTTTCCAAGTCTGTGCGGTGGATGTCAACTCTTTGACCTAATTTCAGAGAGATGCTCCCCACTTGTGCTGTTCCATGCAGTATCTTTCCTCTAAGCTCCTGCTTTTTCCTTCTTTCTTCTTCTGCTGTTTTTCTACTTCTAGAATTTCAGAGAGATGCTCCCCACTTGTGCCGTTCCATGCGGTATCTTTCTTTCTAAGCTCCTCTTTTTCCTTCTTTCTTCTTCTGCTGTTTTTCTACTTCTAGTTGTTTTTCTACTTGTTTCTTTCATTATGTTGTCTCGGCCAACCACTCAGGTTGACCTTTTCCTCTTTTTTTTTTAATTTTATTTTTCTTTTTATTCAGTCCTGGATTAACTCGCTCGTTTTCCTGAGTTTTCTCTTCTCTCTCAAGGGTCAGGTTCTCTCTTGTTTATTCCAACTTACCTTTTTGCTTCCATTAACCCCTTCCCAGTGAGTGACCTGACCTTTCTTGAAATCTTTCTTTTTCTCCTTTAACTATTCCATTGCCAGTTCTCTGTATTTTATGTTCTGTGATCTTTCAGCGTTCCATTTGCACAATTTCTCCTGAGACCCAAGCTTTATGTCACTTCTAACTCTTGTTCCTGTAATTTAAAGTGTCATTGTAGAAAGTTTTTGAAAAGCGTGAGGTTTCTTCAAGTTTGGTCATTTTTGCTTTTAACTCTATGAAAAAGAAAAACCTGTTGATAAAATCAGAAGTTTTGTTTTCCACTTTTTTTGCCAGATTCTGTACTCACAGTCCTACAATGTTAGGCATTCTCCTTCACTCAGAATCTCATGGGGAATTTTTTTTTTTTTTTGGCTCTTGTCACGTTTCTTCTGGTCAGTAAGATAAGAACTTCCATTATTCTCCAAAATTCCTTTCTTTCTTTCTCGTCAAATATCTTATTTTTTTTTTCTTTGAGCTGCCCTGGAACATTGTTTGTGTTTTTCTCAATAACAAGCGGGTGAAGCAGAAGGAATGTGGTCAATAGTTGCTGTTAGGCAAAGAGCACAGTAATGGAAGTGCCTGGGGTTCGGAATTGCACGTTGGATGTTGGACAAGAGATTAAATCCTTTTTGCTGAAACTTTGGAGCAAGAGCCTGTTACATGGTACTGCCATGACTAAATAACTATCTGCAAATGTGCAGGGGTGACACAAGCTGATTGCATCCTGTGCTGTTCTGCTGAGCTGATGGACTGAGTGTGCAGTGCCTACGCTGCAGCTGTTGGTGTCTCCTGGCGAACGGGGTAATCGAGTTGTCACCAGCCTCTCTTGAGGGAATATGTTCAGGTTCTGCAGTACCGGGGACTCACATTTTCTACTGCAGGAAATTTCACAGTTTGGAGTCTTAATCATGGGTGCTTGCCAGATTAAACAGCAATGCTTTGATTTTTGTTTTGCATTGCCAGCCAAGCTGAGTGTCACCGTGCATCCACATCCACAAGAATATCTGCACGAGTCCCAGGCTCCCACAGACACGAGTTCAGCCTTCTCATCGCTCTATTTCATGAGCTTTCTAATAAAGAAACCTGAGGATCCCTTCAGGAACAGGTTTCTGTAGTACAGAGCTTTGGATTTTAATTTTCCCTGTGTCAGGGATGTGCAGAGCAGAAGAGCAAAGATGAAAATTCCCAAGTGAGAGGAAGCAAACCTGGCTGATAATGTAGAAAAAAATCTGCTTTTCTCTTTTTGTGCATAAGGGCGGGCTTTTGTCTTCTATGTTAATGCTCTTGTAGAAGCTGTACAGCACCGAGTGAAGTAAGAGAGAGCTCCAGATGGAAATACAAGCAGCCTGTTAGTGGTTCACATCTGGAATGCACTGAGATACACGTCTTAAGGGAGGAAGAGCAGTAAATGGCTTTTATTGATCGCAGCAGACAGCCTGTGTGGGAGGAGACTTTGAGGGCTAAATAAGCAAGTGGAGTAAAACCCATGAGCTAAACCATTCAGGAGTCTTCAGGGGAGTTATTTAACTTTCACATCAGCCGAGAAGGGGGATAGGGCTGCGTGCTTTGCACGTGTTGAGGGATTTGGGTTGTCTGCTTGTTAGTGCTTGTCCTGGGGTGCCTCTTCCAGCTCCTCTGGGCTTTGTTACAGGTTCGTTAGGGTGGTGAGTTGGGATGATTTCACATGCAGCAACAGCTTATCGGGACCAGGGTGGTCTGTAGGCATCTTGGGTCAGAGATGGGGAGATGGAAACCTCAGGGCAAGGGAAGAGGGGCAGGAGAGAGAAGCTGTCCTGCTCTTTTGTAATCCTGTGTTGGGGGCTGGGTTTGAAACAGTGCTGAATGCAAGGGTCGGTGTCCGGGTTAATCTCCCGCATAGCACGTACGAGTGCAGGGGTACGAGTGTGGTGAACAGGGATAAAGGGGTACATGCCTACGTATCTCCTCTGTTTCAAATTCAGGGATCTTAGCTGAAGAAATTATAAACTTCTCTATTGTGAACAGTAGTAGTTTGAGGCACTGGGTGCAGAGAGCAGAGAAACATGAAAGCTCCCACGGGGCGCCGTGTGCTGCGCTTGGCCCACCATCACTGTTAGCTCCGCGTCTCTTGCTGCATCTGTAGGACTAATGAATGAGAGCTGATGTTTTAGAAACTTTAGGGCAGTTTCTGTGCTTCATCCAGGCTCCTGTTCCGCTTGCTTTTGTTACCACGTTCTGGGATTATGGATCTCTGCTGGGGCTTCCTCTCATTTCTGCGAGGTTACAGGTCTGCAAGGAGCTGTATTTCTGTTGGGGAACAAAGACTGACACTGATCTTCCCACGCCTTTCTCTCCTCCTCCCTGTTTTTAGGGTGCAGGGTTAGATACGAAGCTCACATGATTTGTGTTTAGTGAGAGTTCCCACGTACACAGGGTCTCCTGAGTAGACTGTCTTATGGCACTCTGGGATCTTCATTGTAAAGGGAACATTGATGCAGGAAACATACAAAGTATTTCTCGTTTTCTTTTCTCTGTTTCTGCCCACATGTGACTTTAACACACCTCCCTCATCTCATTCTGCCTGCGCTTCACGTACGGGCTCTGTGTACACTTACCCACTTCCTTCTGAATTGTGCTGCCTCTTGTGAAATAACTATTGTTTAGTCGTCAGCCATCAATTGCTCTTGGCACTGCGCAGGAACAGAGAAGATGTCCTGGCAGGTACGCGTCCCGAGATGGGTCACTCCTGTGGAGTGGTGCTTCAGGGAGAGCTTGAGTGCTTACTCACAAGATAATAGGATGCAGTGATCTTTAGGGTAAAAAGAATGAGAAACAAGACATTCATGAGCAGTTCTCAGGTGCCTGTGAGAGTGATTTCCCTCGGGTCTCGCAGTCAGCGTCGAGTTTGCGGTTGTCACTGGCAGAACATTCTCTAAGTTTTTCCATTTGGGAAAAGTATTGAATTACATGGTATCCTTACTAGCCAAGACTTCAGAATCACTCAAAACGTTCACTGTCAAGATCAGAAACTTTATTTGGAGATGTTTCAGTTCTTTGTGGTCTTTGCAACAGGGAAAAGGGAACATTTGAAACGGAGAGCAGCTCATTTCGGAGAGCATCAGGCTTCATGTATAATAAGGTTCTGACCTGAAATTAAATCTAGGGGAAACTGTGGACACATGTGCACGTGTGAGAGACTGAGAGGTGCAGAACAGCAGGAAGGACAGTAGGAACTTCTGGACAGTAGGAACATTTTTCTGAGTCCTAGGAGACCTGGGTGGAGGGGAGGTTGGGAGCTAGCGTGGTTCCCAGCCATCCCGCTGCTCACTTAGAGAAGGGAACTGGGCCAGGCAGCTGGACCAGCCATAGCGTTCTACTAGCATCGTCCTAGGATAATGTCAGCTTTGAGTGAGCTTTAATTTGGGCTAGGTTGGCAGGCTGGCCAGCCCCGTACTTTGTCAAGTGATCACCGGTGTAGTGTGGTTGTGGCGACAGTGGAGTGCGTAGGTGGGGACACACAGACTTCTGCCTTAGTGCCCAAATAACTGCCCAGTTACATTGGGGATGTTGTGCCTGTGCGTACCTATTCCGACCTCACGGAGGTAGTTGTGCCTGTGCGTACCTATTCCGACCTCGCGGAGGTACTTCAATAACACTCTTCTTTTTTTTTTCCCCACCTTCAATAACACTTTTTTTTTTTTTTTTTCTTTTCCCCGCCCCTGCCTTCTAGGATAATGCGGGAGCAGCCGAGCGTGGTTCTCGGTGTGGCCCACACGGTTGTGAAGAGGATGTCCCCGTTTGTCAGGCAGATTGACTTTGCCCTGGACTGGATGGAGGTTGAGGCTGGACGAGCTGTTTACAGGTGAGATATGGACAAAATTATATGTTGTCTGTTGAATATTTACATTTTCATAGTTAAGAACCTATGTTCCCTTGGTGACACGTAGAATAAGAAACTCATTGGATTAAATCTCAACCATTTCGTCAGCTGTATCTGTTTGCCTATATTGAGATTATTTTCTTTGTGCAATATCCTTCAACATTGCTGCAGTCTCTTGTGTCCAGGTGTTATTAAAATTCTGTCATACTGTTCCTCAACCTTCATGTTGTCTCAGCAAGGTTTTAAAGTGACATAATCGATTAAGTCATAGACAGTTGTATGTTCTGGTGGTAGTTTCTGCATTGTTAAGGGCATGAGCGTCTGTTGCTCAGAGTTTTTCAGCCTTTGTAAAACAAACAACAAAACTCAAAGGTAATTCAGTTAGGCTTGTTCTACAGTAAATTGAAAATAGGCACTGCACTTTATGTTCAAGGGGCAAGTTATCCTTGGGAAAACTTAATTTTATGGATTTTGTACTAGGATGCGTTTGAGTTATTACATGGTTGCTGCAGTGGTGGCGGAATAAAGGTCTGATTTGGTATATGCACTATATAATTGTAATTTTATTGTTTTTAACTATACCAGCAGCACTAACGCTAATGGAAGTTTTGGATTACTTTGTGTATCAAAGCAGTCCTAGCTGTCAGTATCATTAAAATCTTTCAGAATTCCTTCTGTTAGTTTTAACTGCACTGCCAGAAGTATTGCACTTTGTGTGCTGTGTTACGCTGGAACCTGCACAGCAAATGGCACTCGTCATCATGCAGACTGAATATGGCAAAAGCTTCCTGATAGGCTACGATGGGTACACCGAAAGAGATCCAAATCCTGAGCCTCTCCGGGGTTTCCTTCTTTGACCCGCAGAATTTCTCTGCGCATCTGTCTTGACCTTGCTGCGACAAGCTTCTGCTGTGACCAGCAATGAGCCCGCAGGGGCCACTCATACCCTGGGCATCTGCTTCCAGACCTACCACTAACCACTTGTTCAAAGCAGGCGCATTTAAACATTAAATGTATTTCCAAGTCACCTTTTAGCAGATGTTTGATTTTTTCTTGTTTGCTTGTTATGTTTAACTGTTGAGTAAACATTTTCCTATGTCCTCTAAACCAGGCGGGGAAAGGTGATCGGCTTGTGGAAGGACTCCAGATGTGTTTGCTGAGCAGAGGTGCTTCACTCATCCTCGCTATCGATTATTCTTTCTGCAGGCAGGGGGACAAGTCAGACTGCACGTACATTGTGTTGAATGGTCGCCTTCGCTCTGTCATACAGATGGATGATGGAAAAAAGCACTTGACGGCTGAATATGGACGAGGAGACTTAATTGGAGTGGTAAGAACCAGTTTCAAAAATGAATTGTTCAGCTGAGAGATTGGTATTGACTCCACACTAAACCAACAAAATCTTGCTCTGATCAACCGTTAATCTTATAGAATCATAGAATCGTTAAGGTTGGAAAAGACCTCAAAGATCATCAAGTCCAACCGTCAACCCAGCACCACCCAACCCACTAACCCACGTCCCAAGGGCTTTCATCAGTTGAAAAGATGGAAAATCCCTTCTACCTGGAGACTTTATATAATAATACATGAATGAGATTGTTAGACTTGGTTTAAAAAGAAAGATAAAAATTCACAACCAAACCAAAAAGCCATGCACAATGCTCTTTGGTGGTACAGGTTACTTTCTTTCTCATTGAGTGGAGAGCAGCCTGCTGGAATAATTTGGGGAGAATTGCAGGAATGTGCATCTGAGTTGTCTTTTTTAAGAGACGTAAAAAGTTTTCTTGTAAGGAGGGAGAAGTCTCTGGACCTTTTCAATGTGCAGTAACTTTAAAATAAATTTTATGTCATTCAGAAGGGTCTGCAGTAGCCTGTAAGAGGCAGTTCTGGTGATACTCCCAGCAGAAGACAGAGCTGGTCTGGAGTGGTGGCTGCACGGTGGTCAGGGAGTTATGGGTGGTCAGTATTTAGGGATGTCCTCCCAAGATCAGTGCTGCTTCTGGCTGAGGAGTTCTGCTGGCTTGGGGCTGTGTTTGGAGAAGCAAGGCTATTCTAGAGTGTGCTAGGCACGCTCACAAATTTTATTCCTTCATTTTTTTCTTTTTCGGGCTCCCTCTTTGAGATACCTCATTCAAGGTACAGTGACGTGGTTTGACAGGAACAAAAGCTGAACTCTTTTCTGACTAACCATGCCAGCATGAGGCATTTTAGTGTGAATAAAGGTTTGTCAGTTTTGACACCTGCAAGCATTACCTGCTGCTTTCCCTCTGTTCTTTCCCCAGTGGTGATCTGTGTCTGGAGTTTTGCAGAGCTCCCAGGTTAACACAACAGCGCTGTTCTACTTTCCGAAAGCAGTTTTGAGCAACTGTGGAGGGTAGGGTTGGAACTGTACCTCCCGGTGTGAGCCCTAGCGCTGGTTTTGGCGTAACATTTCACGCTGGCTCAACTGGTTATCCGGGGAGGAGAGCAGGAGGTCGGTTTGGGCTGGGACACGTGTGCTGTACCAGGGCCATACGTGCTGGCCTGTCGCTGGGCACGGGAACAGAAATACCCATACGTGTCTAAACCATAAGTCACTTTTCTGGCTCCATGCTATGACATGAATAATTTTAAAGACTTTTGTGGCTCTGTGGACGTCATCTACTTCTTCCTGCCCACAGCTCCCAGGCCCACTGACTCATGCTGCCATTTGTTGAACGGATCCCGATGCTCTGGCTGTCTTTTGAAAACATGGGGGAGGATTTGTAAAGATTGCCAAGCTGAATGTCGCTGTTTTTTGAAGAGGGCATTAGTAAAATGACATTTTTCCTTTTAAAAAGATTTATTTATTCCCTTCTGCAGGATCTGTGATAAACCTTTAAAAGCCTGCTGCAGGGTTGGGGCTTTTTTCTCTGAAAGTAAAGTAATTGGAGCATTTTAGGTGCTTGCAGGGAATGGAATTAGCAGTTGTTATTGGTAATTGGTATTTTGGCGTGTTCCTCCCTGAAACCCTTCCAGGACCCCCCCATGTCATTCGAGATGGTGGGCACTAAAAAAATACACGAGTCTTGTAGGCAATATATTTTTGTTTATTGTCTTTATCTTAGAACTTTAAAAATGCCGTGTGTCATATGTGTACGAGATGAGTATCTGCCACTTCTGCTTTCAGATGAAAAGCACTGAGAATGAAGGATGTCAGACAAGATGATACTTTTCGAGCATGTGCGTTCGCTCCCAAGGCTGCGCTCGTGGCTCAACCTGTTTTGTTCCTTATCCTGACTCAATGGCATCTGTTTCTGGGGTCTGTCAGCTCAGGGGGAGATCAGATTCAAAACTCAAGTTTGCCTTCGCTGTGTGTAGTTACTTGGGGAGCTGACAAGGATCATTGTTGGGGAAAATGATCCCCACTCTCTCAGAGCCTTTTTGGAGGGATGCTGCCAGCGGCTTGCTGCTACTGACCCTGTCGATGGGTAACTCCAGTTGCTGTGTCTGGTCAAATCAAGCCAAAACCTGATTGAGGGCCTTCCAGGTAGTTTTTAAAGGACAATGATGAATCTGTTAGATAAATCCCTCGCATCTGAAATACAGTTGACCACTTAAAATACAGTTGACAGAAGTCCTGTTTTCTAGAAACCATGATTTGACCCATTTTGGGGGGAATCTTTTAATTTATTGGTGCCGTTTGCCACAGATGCACTTGTGGAAAAATGTTGAAATGTTAATTTTATTAACCTGTTACGCGAGCTAAAGGGTCGCTCTTCTAGTGGTGTTTCTGCTGTGCCCAGGTGACCCCAGAGGAAATGAGAAAAGCCTGCTGTGCTAAGTTATTTGTTTAAAATGCTTATATTAGTCTTTTTTTTTTTCTTGATGTAGCTGCTTTAGTTCTGATCTGCTGCAAATTGTAGTTTTTATGCTTATTATCTTGATCTCATTAACACACTGTTGTCTGAGAAAGAAGATTCCTTTCCATTTATTGCCTATCGACATCAGGCAGTCTGCCCCAGGCTTTGACATTCAGTGGTGTCCCTAGCACAGCTGATGAGAAGTTACTCAGGATTTTTTTCCAGCTTGCAATATAGGTTGTCCCAGATGGGTTACAGGATCACAGCTCCAAGGGTGTGTTGAGATGGGTGTTCTGTGCTTTCTGCGTTATTGGAAGGACAGTAGTGGGTGAGGAGAAGGGGGGAAAAAACCAAC